TTTTTTTTTTTTTTTTTTTTTTTTTTTTTTTTTTGAGACAGGGTTTCTCTGTAACTTTGGAGCCTGTCCTAAAAAATAGATCTTATAGGCCAGGCTGACCTCAAACTCAGAGATTCACCTGCTCCTTCTTATTTTTTTCAAGTCCCAGTCCAAAAAAAAAGGGGGGGGTTAAAAAAGTACTTCCCAGAAAAAAAATAAACCATAACCCATGAGGAGGATAGAGCAATCCAGATCTCCAGTTATTTAGCCAACTTGTCTGAAAAATCTAGATGTTAGGATGGCGCATAAATCCCAGGTGCTCTTTATTCTGTAACTCATGCTGCTGTCCTGTTTAAGGAGGTAGAGTTTGGACAGAAGAAAAAAAAAACTAAGACTAAGAAAATGGATAGCTTTGCTAAGATTCAGGGTTGGAGACATGAGGAGTCCTCAGATCCAGATAGATTCCACAGTGTTCATACGGTCAATGATTCCCTTCCTCTCACTTCCCTCCCTTTCTTCCTTTTACTTTTATTTTTCTTCTGAAATAAAAATCAATCTGAACTGGACTTGTTCTGTGTGAAGAATTCCTGTTGGAACACAGATAGCAGAGAAGAAACATGAGCTGTACTAATTCCTTCACATTGCTTCTTCGCCAACTACCAACGCAAGATCTGTGAGTGGAAATCAGCTTTGTGCTCTTCCTGTCTCTGTGGAATTAATTGTTAAACTGTAGTCCCATTGGCAGAACCCCCAGTGTGTTTCTCAGTAGCGTGTGCTGATGTGGACAGGAGAGAGCGAGGCCCAGACACCACGAGAGCAAGGCATGAAAGCTCCAGCAGAGGGATTCACTAGGTTGGCTGAAAGACATCTGGGACAAGAGTCCAGAGGAATGCTGTCAATTTGACTGTACATAACACACGATTCACCGCTTGGAGTCTATGAGCAGCAGCTGCTCTCAGTAGGCATCTTCTGCAGTGGTTCCCCACTGCTCTCCTGCTTGCCCAGCATGACATTCATTTTAGAACTGGGTCCTGTGGTCACACTCAACTTATCATATTCATGATATATGATTCACTGACCAACCAGCCAATCCTAACCATTCATAAAAACACTGAAATGGTCATATTGCCACTTACATCTCATGAGAGGTTAACAGGGTCTTTCTGTACAGTCATCAAAAGAAAAATGTTTTCTCTCTGCCATTCAGAACCATTGGTTCTACGCTGCTTTGATTTCTGCATAGTCCATTATACTACCTATAGTGACCAAAGCCACCATTTGTTTTCTTCTTGGAGGACTGTATTCCTGAGAACATAAATTCATGGAGAGGAAAAGTCTGCATTATTCCTTCACCACTGCACAACCAGTGGTTAACAAGATGCAGTGGGTATTTGTTGAATAGCGTGCTGGCTAGAGGCTCTGCCATCCACAACAGAGAACACGAAGGAAGTGAAGAAAGGGAGAAGCAAAGAAGGACAGAAGGAAGTGGAGAAGGGAGAGAGAATCTTATTGCCTACGGTATTTGAACCCTCAAATTTAATCTTGTCCATGTAGACAGTAGTGAATGGTGCCTTTAACTTAGTGAAGTATAGTGGAGTTTGATGTGCCAGGGAAGTATTCACCTACTCATACTGCTATGTATATTTTTAATATATCAAATTATATTATTTGATAATATCAAATTAAGATAATTCTCAAAAGTGCATACCTTAAAAGGTTTTTATATTACAGTCCAAAGTATAAAATGAATATGCCCTAGTACATGTGAATGCACATAAATGACTGATGAATCTTTTTTGTAGAGCAATCTTAATTAATATAAATAGACAATACCCTTTCTTTTTCATCCCCCAATTCTGATGTAGGGTGGATTAGTCACTCAGTTATAATAAAGTATGGAAGAGAAAAACAGCAGTTTCATAGTACTGGCCTTCACTGTGTAAGAATAGTTAGTGTCCCTAGCCATATCCTCAATGGAAGTAGAATTCCTTCTGATGGGATGAGCTGAGGAGGGCACTTTACTTCAATGTCTCCTCCTGAGACTGTAAAGCCTTAAGCAGCACTCCACAAAACCACTGTGTCAGTAACAAGAAACCAGGAAAGACTGGGCCACTGAGGGCTGGTGAGACCAAGGAAAAATGGTGCCTAGGGCAAAATGGACGGAATATATACTGACATTAGGCAACTGCACAAATCCCAGGCTCTTTCTAGCCCAAGGATTAGTTAGTTACCAGGAGTGTATGAAGACCGGTTGGCTAGTTCTGACTAGTGTGCCACTGGAGGAAAGTTGTCGCAGGAGGCAGGATGGAACCAGATGGGAGACAGTGGGGCTCTGCAGTTCTTCTACAGTCTTAGATTCTTTCAGAAAGTTTATATTTTAAAAAAATCTATAAAGAAAAATAGCTGAGGACACCTATGAAGACAAGCTCAAATGGACAGCAACACAGCTGAGCTACATTTTTGCTCCCAATGTGAGATCATCCATTAGAAAACCTGGAAATATGTGGTTTACTATAACTGAGCGTTCACAAAAAAAAAAAATGAATTCTTGTTATGTGTAAAAATGAATTAACTACCACTGCAGAGAAGGAAGAAGTTCATAGTGCCCAGGCTTTATGCTTTGAGTAGTATTAACTGTTAGGTACTAGGAATTACCAAGTCATTTCAAAACAGATTTGGGACATGGATACAGTGCCCAAAAATGGGGTATTTATTTTTATTGTTGTTGTTCAAACCCTTGTGATAGCAAGGCTTAATAAAGTTTCTCTGAACTCCATGGAAAGATTTTGGAAGTCTTTTTCAAGATACCTTTACCAAAATGAATGATGATGGACTTCAGCAAGGAAAACACTCGATTTTCCTGTCTTGGCAAAAAAGAGCATAAAGATAGACACAAAAGAAAATATTCTGTTTAATATTATCCTTTGTAAGCTCATCCATTTCCTGCAAATTTTAGTACTGAATTAGGGCTTCTCCTCCCCCGTGTCCTCAGTAGCATCTGTTGTGACATTTCTTGATGATACTGCTCTGACTGGGTGAGACAGTATCTCAAAAGAAGTTCTAACGGATGGATTTGGAAAGTATATTAAGTTAAGTGGCTCAAACCTAGGAAGGCATAAACTGCACATTCTCTTTCATACAAACTTCCTAGCCTTCAACGTATAGATATGAACATATGCATGACATACACGTATGTGTGTCTGTGTGTGTAATCATGCATAAAATCTCAAAAGTAGAAAGGAGACAAAGAAAGGGTAAAATAGGTACTGGGGTAGGCAAACGGACAAATGGGCTATAAAAAAGAAAAACAGACCGAGAAAGGAGCTTACAAAAGGGAAGAAGGAACTGAAGGTAGCAGAGGGTGGGTACGGTTGGGGGGAAGGGAGGCCAATAAAACATACGTTTGTAAATACCATAATGATTTCTAATACTTAGTATGAAATTTAAAGATTTTTTTAAAAATTGAAATAATGGTGGCATTGGTTAATCTAAAAGGGGTCAGAATATAATAATTTAATAATATAGGCAAATAGATATTATTGAGCCTGCCCTATCCTTAAAGAATTCAAATTACTTGGTTATTTGTGTGTGTGTGTGTGTATACATGTATTTATATGAAAAAGAACATAGGCATGGTGATATATGTCTATAATTCCAGTACTGGGAGGACAAAAAGATTCCTGGGAACTCAGTGGCCAATCATCCTGGCAATTTGTGAGTTACAGGTTCAGCATGTGCCCTGCCTCAACAACGAAGGTAGAAAATTATAAAGGCAAGCAAGGTTTAAGATTCTTTGTCTTTTTGACGTGTGGGGCAGTGAGTCATTAGGAACAAGTCAGGGTTTCCATCTGTACACTAAGGCTTCTCCTTCTACCTCCACCTTGCTTTACAAACAGTTTGACTTGATGACATCATACACTAGAGGACATCTGCGGTATCCTAGGCATCACTTTCTGAACTGAAGGCCATCACAGTACTTAGTTAAGTCAGGGAAAAGGAGTGAACCTCCATCCAATGTATACATAGGTGCTGAGTACAGTCACAATTAGAATATTTTGTCTTGTGACATTATGTACAGCACTAGCCAATATGCCCTGCCCTGCTGTCTTCTTAAAGTCGGGCCTTCTTTAGTAGTTGGTACTGGGCTTCTCTGCCCAGTCCCATCTCCTCCAGGAGAATAAGACATTTGTGCTTGCTTTCTTCACTCCGACCCTTCTAGACCTTCTAGACCCTTCCTGCATTATTTATTTCCTTCCACGATTCTCTGCCCTTCTAAAAATGTGACTTGGAAGCAGGAAGTAATTAACATCACACATATAGCACTTGGCACATAGTGGACCTCTCCACAAATGTTTTTACTTGAGTTAAATCAATGGATTTGGGAATGTGGAATGAACCAGAAGAGCTGGCAGCATATGGGAAGAGAAGTCCACACAAGCTGGTTCTTTATTCCGGGGGCTTTATACTTTCCAGGAATCCCAAATAAGAGTGTGAAAGAAAAGAACCAGCAGAGAGGAAAATCATTTTCTTCCTGTTTTCCTGGGACCATACATCTTCCACCACATGTCCACAGGCTTACAGAAAACTGTTCCCTGCCAGTCCCCATACCCAGCTTCTCTATGCTCAGCACAGGAGTATGTAGCACAATTAATAAAAACCCAGAGACAGATATTGGGATTTAGTCTGAAGGTGTAAAAAGCAACAGCCAGTCACTGACTTTTACCTCTACCTCAGTCTGAAATGGTGATTCTACCTCCAGGAATCTCAGAATGAGACTGTAAGCTGTCTCCTCTCTAGAGCTGGGCTCAAAGGCATGCACCACTACTATCTACTTACTATGGCAAACTAGTGTGGTTACTGTGTTTAAAGGTGTGTGTTATTACTGATCTGTAAGGCTGACCAGTGGGGTTGTTTTAGACTCTGATCTGCAGGTACCCTTCATTTATTGAAATACAAATAAAATATCACTACAGTAAACTGAAGATATGAACCATGTCCCACCAGGACACTTCTTGACCCACCTTTAGATCAGACACATCTCTGTAGCACTGCTCAGAGCGAGTGTGGTCTGACAGCTGTACATTCCAGAAGCAGGGGAGCTGATACACCAGGAAGGGGTTTTGTTTGATGACAGCATTGAAAATATCCTGGAATAAAAGCCAAGGACACAGTCAAGTGAGTGGGCAGGTTTAACTTACAGGAGGACATCTCTCAAACACCATGCTCTGGGAATAGGACTGCTCCCATTGTGGACAGTTTTCCCTACTGATTTCTTCAGGAACCAATGGTTAACGTCTGGGTAGGAGCAGAGGAATGTCATAGGCCAAACAAGCTCACTTGATGCTTGGGGGTCCAGCTGGTCATAATCCAGTGAGGTCACACTGGGCTGATAGGTAATGACTTTCCCGTGTTGACTATCATGAAATAAATCAAGTCTCTTATCTTCCCCTTATCCTACTCTAGGTAGGAGCCCTGTCATATCCTGAGCCTTCATGAGAGGAAACAGTGTGATGCTAAGTGGCTCAACTCATCCTGAGGATTGAGACAAATGATGGATCCTTATTTCAAGTAGCTCTTTCTCAGGGCTTTTGGTTGGCCTAGTGATGGCTGCTCGTTGAATTTCTGAAGGCCACAGTACCTAGAAAGCAACTCCCTATTTCAAACTCCTATTCCAAGTTGTCTAGATAGGAATGTTTTAAACCATTTTTGAGCTCCCTTCAAGCCTAATATGTAACCCCACTTATTAACCAGCTACTTGACAGGTGGTTCTGGGAGGTGAATTATGGGCCTTCATGGCACAAGATGGCTAAACAAACTATCCTCATTGTACATATTTTACACACACCACACACACACACACACACACACACACACACAATTGCTACCTTTGGGGGCATACACTCAGGTCACTGCTACCTAATTTGAAATATAAGGACAGTGGACAACTTTTGCCTCAGGTCCTAGACAGCATCTGAGTTATTTTATTTTAGTTTTTCACTCACTCATGCTATATCTCATTGCTTAGAAAAGGAGGTCAGTTTTTGTCTCCTAGGGAAATACTGAATAATAATGCTTTTAAAAAAAGAAATAAAAAGTTATATAACCTTGCAGATTTTCTTGTTTCCTCTTTGTATTTGAAAACTTTGTGGGACTCTGACAAAGGAGTCGTGAGGCATGAACTAATTTCGGAAAGGAAGAAATAAAAACCCAGAGAGAGCATCTTCTTGTGATCAGCAACATCACAAGAAGGTAAAATCTAAGTGAGAGGTCTTGAGTTCTGAGGTCAAATAGATTCATGCCTTTCCCAATCAAAATGAGACATGTGTTTTTATAAAATTAGTTAATCATTTTTTGGAGTTGAAGGACATTCTCAGACTGTCTGCTTAATTTCTCTTTTTTCCCTGCTTAAATGATATTCCCTTGAGTTTAGGGCTACCAGGATGAGGATCACAATAATGGCTTTATCCTACACATTGCATGCTGCTTCTCAGATGCATGTGATATATATCTGGGAAAATACACCATGGCATTTTCTGGTCATAGGGAGCATGTACATTCCACACTGGTGTTAAAGATGGTATTGGTGCCTTTTCACATAGCAGACTATCATCCACTTGTGACTCTGATTCCATAAACAATGAAGTTTCTGAGTAAAGAGCCTGGACTTTAACACTGAAACACGGGTTAGTGGTTTAAAGCACTGGCTGCTCTTCCAGAAGAGCCAGGTTTGATTACCAGCACCCACATGTAGGTTTATAGGCATATGTAACCTTCAGTTGTAGAGGATCTGACAGCCTTTTCTGGCCTCCATGGGCACCAGGTACAAATGAAGTCCAGAGACATACATGTGGGCAAAATAAGTTTACACATAAAGTAAATAAAGAAAAAAATATTGGGTCCTTTACTGTTATCTTCCTACATGTCTTAGTATACAATGTTCACTGAATGTCTTTTGATGGAGTGCATGAAAGAAACAATGAATTGAGACCATTCAATTATTAACAGAAGTCTTTGGGGGGGGGGGCTGGAGAGATGGCTCAGCGGTTAAGAGCATTCCCTGCTCTTCCAAAGGTCCTCAGTTCAATTCCCAGCAACCATATTATGGCTCACAACCATCTGTAATGAGGTCTGGTGCCCTCTTCTGGTCTGCAGGCATACATACAGACAGAATATTGTGTACATAAAAAAAAAAATACAGAAGTCTTTGAGAAACAGACCAGTTCTGCTGTGCTTTGGCATCTGGAATATTGTACCAAAGATCCACATGCTAAACTACTAGTCCTAAATGCTGAATTATCACTAAAGGTGCTTAAACCTTTGATAGGTAGGATATAGTGGAAAGTTTTAAGGCCACTGGGAGAACACATGTGAGGGGGACTGTGGAACCTTAGTGTCTTCTTTGATGTCCTTATTGTAAGGTGAGCAGATAGGTAAGATCCTCCATATGCTCACCAGTGTTATGGTTTTAGACCAAGAGCAATATGGTCAACCAGCTATGGGTTAACCTACTTAACTGTGATCCAAAATGAACCGCATAATCTAGGCATAGTGGCATATACACGCCCATCCCAGAGCTTGGGAAACAGAGGCAGAAGAATTGCTAGTTCAAAACAGCATGGAGTATACTCTGGGAATCTGTTTGAGAAAGAAAACAATGAACTAAACAAAACGGTAACAAAAAACCCTTTCTCAGTGTTTACTGTAGTAACAATACAACAAGCACTAAGAGGAGGGTACTCAGGTGTAAGGATTCCTGTCACTGGCCACTCACCTGGTCAGCCAAAGAGGTAGACAGCATGCCCATGAGTTCCCTCTCTGCTGTCAGCCTCCACATCTGTTCCCATTTCATCTTGCGCAGCTTATCCAGAAGCAATAGTATGACTCCTGGGCAACAGCATAGGATAGAAGCACAAGAGCAGCAATGAGACGGAACTAGAGACACTAGCCACTTTGGGACAGCCTAATCACCTAAAAGGACGAGCTTTCCCTCCCAGATCTCAGGAGTGAGCCTTAACATTACAGGGTGCATGGCTTGAAGATGAGTCTTGGCCTCAGCACCAGGCTCTGCCAGATACTGAACAAGTGTATATATTATTACAATTTCTGTCTGCCTTCATTTAAGCCGCTACAAAGTGTAAAACAAAATCATATCTCTGAAACATCCCCACTACATAGGAAAGAGTATTAAGGTGAATGAGTAATGCTTAGTATTTTCTGGAAATATTTTGTGGTGATAGTTGCACTATTGAATTAAAATAATAAGTTTCTATTATTTATTTACTATTTACAGATTATATCACAGTAATAATAACAAGAGATCCTGCTGTCGACTTGATGTGCATTACATTTCTCACAAATATTAGCTTCTTTTCATACTAAGGCATCCTTAGTATAGCTGATAAGTGGCACTTGCACAACACACACCATTTGCTTTTTTCAGGAAAAATACAACTTTACTCCAATTGCATGGTTTTTTTTTTTTTTTTTTTTTTTTTGATACAGGGTTTCTCTGTGGTTTTGGAGCCTGTCCTGGAACTAGCTCTTGTAGACCAGGCTGGTCTCGAACTCACAGAGATCCGCCTGCCTCTACCTCCCGAGTGCTGGGATTAAAGGCGTGCGCCACCACCGCCCGGCTACATGTTTTGTTTCACTTACTAAACATTTCTTTTTGTTTGAGAGATTGCCTTCTTGTATGCATATGTGCATTTGGTATTCGCAGAGACCAGAAGAGGGTCCCTGATTTTCTGCAATTTGAATTACAGAAGGCTGTGAGCTGCTGTGTGGGTGCTGGGAATAGAACTCAAGTGATGTTCAAGAGCAAGTGCTATTAACCTATAAGCCGTCATTTTAACCCCTTCTAAGTACGTTATTTGACAGAACTGACCAGTCACACCTCCTTGCCTTAGTGTTCCTTACTTGAGAATCCATTGAATCCATTCTTGCATTTGGAAAAAGGGGAAAAAATTAAATATAGTATTAAGGCCAAAAATTCAAAATAGTTCTAACAAGAAACATGTAATTTGGCTTAGTTGAATGAATTGGAGGCAGCTACCTACTAACAACTCAGTCCACGTGGGCAGAAAAAGCCATAATCAGAAGAGGCCACATGGCCAAGGTAGTGAAGGGACTTGCTACACATTTGGGTCCTCAAAGCAATCCAATTCATTATGATTAATTGGGCAGAAGGGCCACTGTCTAGGTAGGTAAAAAATTAGTTGACACCTAGATGTAACTGACTTCCTCCTTCCAGTCAGACACATATATTGACTCTAACACTTTTTACTTATTCTAGTGGTACACGTTTGTAGGAAAAGTATATTCATCATTTACAGAAGGTTCTAGGCAGAGAAAGTCTGACACATTTGGAAGAGTAGAGTAATACAGAGATGTGTATTTATGAGTTACAAGGTGCAGTACACTGATTGCCTATCTCCTTCATGCATATTGGCTTTTCTTGAATACCATTTTCTTCAATGTTCCAAGATCCTTTGAAAACAACTGTTATCCTTATTTTGCTGGAGGGGAAACTGAAAGGCTAACTTAGGCACATGTCTAATTTAGAGTTGAAAAACAGGCAAACCAATATGGGTGTGCCTTACTCCAAAGCCAATGATACAGATGTATGAAAATGTCACAACAAAATCTCTTACTTTCATGCTAAAACTGCTTAGTAAAAGAGTCTTATTTATTTTGGGAGGACAATAAAGTAATTTGGGGGAGATACAAAATAGAAAAATATAGTGATATAAGACAAGGAAGAAAAGCAGAACCCAGTCTTAAGTGTATGAGAGACTTCATCAACTTTTATTGAAAAAGCTAATTTAAACTGGATAAAGTCAACGCTCTAATATATAAAGAGAGGCTGAGCAAGCTGTAGGTAGTGATAAAAAATTTTAAGGAACATTCTTAAAAGTCTATAAACTATGGAGTCTGAGCTTAGCATCAGCACTTTTAAATGGTACTATGTCTTGGTGGATAGGGTGACAGACTTGGTTCAGCACCAACAGGTAGGCTCTTTGGAGAGGATGCGAAGTCAAGGATTGAGAACCAACTGCAGAAACTCAAGACTTCTCTCCCAGTTTCAGAGTGTTATGAGATGTAACTTAATTCTATAATGATTATATTTCAAGTTAACACAAACCGTGGAAATTAATGTAAGAATTACCCTATACCCAGGCACCATAAATGCCAAAAATAAAACATGATTGATGAACCAAAAGATCCATCATGTCCTTGTACCTGCTCCCTTCTTTAGACACAATCAATCTCCAGAGGTGGTTGTTTTATGTCTTTGTATGTCCTCACATTTTTTTTATCTCTATCCATATGATAATAAACAATACTTGGTGGTGCCAAAAACCTTGACTTTGGCCTTTGTCTGCATTTGCTGCTGTATTATCTGCCCATTTCCAGATTTGCTGTTGGTGTTCAGGAGTGTGGAGCCTGCCCTTTGCCTTAGGGTGTTATGCACAGAGGTTGTGGCCTTAAATTTGGCAGGACCTTCCACTGCAATTGGCTGGGATGTGTGGGGCCAAGCAGGGTTTTATTGACAGCTGTCATGCCAGAAGCATAAGAGACCAACATGATATAAATAAATAAATAATCAAAGGCTTCTCCTGTGGACATGTGGTCTAGTGGGAGACTGTATTTTATCTATGGATTAGAAGGCAGGGCTGTTATCTTTTGTACCAACTGAGGATGTAGCGAAGCTCACACCCGAAATGTCAAGGAGAACAAGACAGTATCTATGAGAGAGGAGAAAGAGAAGTACCCTTTAAAACACTGCTTTGTTTTGGGTTAAATATTGGGTTCTGTTGTACTATTAAAAGGAGATATGGCTGAAGACAGCGACACTTAGCTAGCATCTACCTGGTAACTGCTGTTCACAAGAGTCTGGATTCTTCATTTATGTGACCTCTGATTCTTACGAGGGAGATGAAATGTTCCTCATTTTAGAGATAAAGACTAAGGCTCACATATGGCTATCAGTTGCAAAATTAATCATATTGGATGTCATGTTGCTCCATGTATGTGTGTGTATGTGTATGTGTGTGTGTGTGTGTTCAAACATGCTCATATGTAAACAGGGGAGGCCCAGTTCTACCAGAGTTCTCAATCCAATATAAAGTAGTTCCTCCTGGAAGAAGAAGGAAGGAGACCTCAGGGCATCTGCAGGTAGCCTCTGTACAGATCTGGCAGGACAGAAATGTCAGAGCTTCCTGAAGACTATCCTGTGTGATGATGATGGCAGGCATGATCCTGTGTAAGTGATCATGGTTACTGGCTGGAGACCAGAAAGGCTGGTATCAGGACTTGCTGAAAGCCAGAGCAACTATCTTCTTCCTGCATGTGAGCACACCCAACAGATCTCTCAGCAAGCATAGGACTAGCTCTTCCTAGCAAGGGGAACTAAAAGAAAACTTCCTCAGTACAGTAGTTCTTTCCTTGTTGCTATGACCAAATACATGATGAAAGTGACTTAAAGGAAGAAGTACTTTAGCTCATAGTTTGAGGGGACACGGTTAGGTCATAATGGTGAGAAGTTGTGGCCCCTGAAGCTCCATGGCAATAGGGGTGTGAGGCTGCCTGCTCACATTTCAGAATACTGGGAAGCAGAAAAATGAGAATGCTGATATGCAGGTGTTTTTCACCCCCCCCCCCCCTTCTAATTCAGAATGGAATCCTAGCTTATGGGGATGTTACTGCCCACATTTTGGTTACCTTCTCAGCTACTCTTCCTTGGAAATGCCCTCAAAGGCACATCCAAAGGCATGCCCAACTAATGCCCAAGTGTTTCTTAAACAAGTCACATTGACAATCAAAACCAACCACCAAATCAGGCAAACACCTGAGGTCTGCTTTCTTAAGGGAAGCTCACCTCTCCCTCCCTTTCTCCTCTGAGTTTCTTTCTTTGCATCCCAGCTTCAATGATTGAGCTAAATGAAAGAATCAGCTTAGGACTGGCTTGGTGAATTCAGACTACAAACTTCCTCTATTCAAGGGGGGAAATAGGAGTTCCCAAGTGGCTACTTAATTCCAATAGACAAGACCAGTTCACAGCAGACTGTGGAAAAACCTATTCCTTAATTCAGTGAAAGATGTGTAGGAAATACAGTTAAACAAGTTGAGAAGGTGGTGGGAGAAACAAAGTATTTGACATAATGTATGCGTAGTGAGTTGTAAAGGTGTTTATTTACCAGAATTTTGGGTATAATTTATTGTGTCTCCCTTTGCTTAGTCCTGCCTGGCTTCTGTCTACACTTCTTCAGCTCCCCCTCACCATTTGAAGATGACTTGTTCCCTAGTCCTCTGGTAGTTCTTGTGGCTTTGCTGATCAGACCAATGAAAGTTCTGGTGGACACCAAGCAGATGCTGCATGGGAAGCTCTGAGGGCACATGGGCTCTCTTACTTGAAGCATTTATGAATGTGACCCTCACAGTCATGGCTTTCCTCCCTCTGCTTTGAAGCACTTGTTTCATTACAAGTTTGAACCAATAATGAAGGTGAGTTTATTAAAAATTATTCAATTTAAGATCTGTGCTGATTTTTCCTGGGTATCACCTTTGATTATAAAAACTAAGAATTCTGCAGACTACTTTTTGTTTCTTTGAGTTTTTTTTTTCATTCCTGAAAGTGGGCGGAGGGGCAGCAGAGAGACAGAGACAGAGAGAGGGAACATTTTTGAGAAAGAATGCTTGAAAGTGTGGGAGACAGAATCATATCTAACAACTTCCACTTACATTTGCTAGTTTCTTTTTTCTTTTTTTTATTAAAAGTTTGCTTTATTTTTCTGTGGATCCAAGTGCTAGCTATTAATGACAAATTTCTTTTCCATTCTTTTCAAATGTTATCAGAACAGTTAGAATAACCTTATCAATAATTA